GTTTGCCTTTGCCTTCCGAGAGGTGGCAATCGCTTTTAAATAATCAATTGATTAAAACCGATTTAGAGTTATACTGTTCTGGGTGGATTTAAACCTGGATCTTTAGCACAGAATGCCGACGCGCAGCTCTCGCGCCACAATCGCCATAAAAAGCTAATTACAAATTATAGCTAATATGTATTTATTTTGTCAGACAAATATTAAAGAGGACGCGCGTTGTTCGTATTAAGTGTAAAAATGTATAGTTTTATGTTTTAGCGTTATGTATCGTCTCAACTTTTTTAAATAAATATTTTTTGGAAAATAAATTAATATATGTATATATATTAAATATAAAATAAATAAAATTACCATCGTGAAAGGGAGATTTATCTGCTACGTTTCCGCTCAGTAATGTGATTAGGGTGCAAAATAACAAATGTTCTCGTAAGATCCTCATCTGAAAGGCAATCATATGATTTATCTTGTATTTCAAACTGCATAAAAGAGTTATATGTGTGGGCACATACAGATTATTCTTTTTTATTTAATTAACTATCGACATCGCTTTAATATCGATGTTATATTTTGTTCGGATGCATTAATTTGCCTTAGTTATTTATCATAAAATAACAAAAATAACTTCTGATAAAAGATTGAGATAGTTTCTAAGCAGATTCTTGCGTGCACATAATGAATCAAATGAAAAAAGTTGCCCGTAAGATTTAATGCTTTCAAGATTTCTTACCAACTTATGTAACACAATATTCTTTCAAAAATTGATGGAGAAAGAGACAGAGAGATTTTCAACTATTTAAAAGATAATTGTATTCACCTTTACTAAAAAATTTATCACGCTTATTCTTAGTATTGCCGTTTTCTCATAGCTTTATATTTTATTTCATTACGCTCGTAATTCCGTACAGATGAGCCAAAGTTTATTGTATCTGTAGGCGTCTCAGAATAATTATATCACTTTTCCTAATACTTCAAATCACATTTAAACAAAATAATTTTTATATAGAAAGAGTTGATCACACGTATATCGCGCAAACAATTGACGTATCCGATTTTCACAGTACAGTTGCTAAATGAGTAATTCGAGCGAATAATTCTCCTTCGAATGAGAGATTGTTAAATGCGTTTTGCTTATCTTTAATGCGTTGAGATTATATAATATCATCGATATCCTATCACAAAAAGCAGCCAATGTCATAATTTTTTCCTATAAAATCATGTTATCACGTATATCTTTGCTTGCACAAAGCATCACGCGTTAGAATAAATCAATAATTAAAGATCTGAAAAAATTTATGCGAGTAACAAGAATATAGATAGATTATATAGATTAGAACTTGAAAGATTTATTAATTGTGTCATTATTGTTTGCGGCAAGTTATTTACAAATTTATCTACATCGATAATCTAGATTAATAATAAAGTTTCCGCGTATTAGATATAACTTTATAAAATTAAGCTTAACATCTTTAAAACCATTTATAAAACCATCCTATCTAAAAAAAGGTATGTTAAGTCGATAACTCGCATTTCTCGAAATTATTTGTTACCGCTTTTCCGTGATGCTGATTGGTTATCTCACTATGCTTACTTGGTTGAGCGGCTATCACTACATATTTTGACAGTTATTATGTGT